TTTTTCATTTGGTCACTTCCTGATGTCATTTGTGTATTTATTCCAAATTTTTCTTTCTCATCACTGCTGAAATCAAAGCCTGTGTACCTTTCATGACTACACATGAGAGTTCATTTTTATATTGAGAATTTACAGCTGGGAAATAGTAATGTTTCCCTCCTTATTGCGTCTAACAATGTTTGCAATGTTTCATCTTTAGCCATTTCCATCACCAGATCATCACCAAATGCCTGGAGACACTTTGCATGATGCTTTAATCATGTTTACATGTATGGTTACAGTTTGCTTTAGATGATCTGGTTGTGAACTGTTGGACAGAGAGTATGCTCTTGAAAGTTTTTCCACCACAACTAGGTGGCATCCGGGTTGGAACTCCAGAGTCATATCTTACTTCTGCAGTTTCAAAAGCAATCTGTATCCTTGGTGGTGTATCTCCAAGTCCTTTTTTGGAATATATCAGTCAGTGGTTTGTGATCTATTTCTGCAGTGAATCTCTGATGATACCTTAAGTCATAGAATCTTGTACATCCATAACCCAGGCCAAAGGTTTTTCACTTTATGCATATAATTTTTATGCAGTGGTTATAGCCCTAGATGCATATAAAACTAGCAACCAATCAATTCCATGATGCTGTAGTAGTCCAGATTCATCTTCTGAGGCTTTGAGTTTGATGTCTTTTAATGGATCAAAGAACTACAGTACTGGGGCAGGAAGGCTCTGCTGAAAAAAAGGACAAGGCCCCTCACCACTTCTGCATGGGGTTTGGGTGGCCAGCTTGGCTCCGGTGTCAGGCAGAGGAGGCAGGGGAGTGCGGGAAATGCAGGAGCTTGGCTTGGCATCAGTCAGTGCTGGAGAAGCCCCTAGACGGCAGCACGCTGCCTCTCCATGTGGTGGGGGGTCTGGCTGAAGTATTTATATGGTGTATAAGTTGAAGTAGAAATTTAAGGGTAAATTTTGGGGGTTAAAAATTTAACTCTCCTGCCACCTCTGACATTTCCTGTGGGTAAGTAAAAGTGTCCTCTTTTTATGTTTTTGTTCAACTCCTGTGGGTTTGTACATAGTTGTAGTTCCCCTCCCGTCTCCTTACTGTTACCAGGGAATGGGTCTGGTCTGTTGTTTCTTGTATTCTCTTGCACCGTTCCTGCCTTGGTTTGTAGCTCTTCTTTGTGTCTTTTTCTTAAGACGTGGGGCTTTTCATGTAGCAGGTATCACTGGTTTTGCATCTTCTCTTAGCTGTATTTTATGTCACTGGGAGGTGACCATTCCCTGTGAATCCTCATAGGATGCTAGTAATGCCTTCAAATTTGGTTCAGTGTCATTGTCCAACCTCCCTATGGTATACATCATCTTAACAGGGCCAAGTAGCTCACATGTTCCTCTGTATACCACCACAAACTTGTTCTGTTGTTTTCCTGTATACCTCAGTGTGAGGGTGCACTCTCCTACCACTGCAAGGGTCTCTTCATTACAGCTTTTCACAGACACTTTAGACTCTCTCATTTTTATAGGCCCCCTCTATTTTAGTTTCTGCAATTACATTTACTCGTGCCCCAGTATCTATCTTGGAGATAACATAGGTGCCATTTGTCTGCATTTTAATTAGCCTACATTTCAAGCTTTTGGGCTCTTCTTGAAAAATGCTTAGGGACACTTCTTCCTCTTCACTTGAGTCTGTTTTTGCACTTCATAAATTCAATAACCTTCATTGTATATATGTTGATACTTTCTCTGCACATATTAACACAATGGGCGGGTTTATTATAACTTCCACATTTTTGCCCAAATGCAAGTCACTTTTGATATTCATGATGGTTACCACATCACTGACATTGTTTATGACTTCCCACATGAATAGGCTTGCCCAGATTGATTTTGGTAGACTTTTGTTTTGATGGTTTAGTAATGGTGCTAGCAGTCACTTCTTGCATGTCTTTCTCTAGGCATTTTACATGTGTTTCTGTTTGTTCTGCATCTTTCTATATACATATTGCCTTTTTCTAGTGTCAGGTCCCTTTCTCAGTAATCACTCAAGCTGTTTACTGTAACATCCTAGGACTATCTGGCCTTTAACGAAACGGTCTGTGAGTGTTCCATATCCACGGGAGTAACTTTTTAGTTTCAGGTCTGTGACAGACTTCCAGTTTCCCCTTCCTTTTTGTGTTCTCATCCAGAACATTTATTTCTCATAAATTATATTTTTTCTAGGAATAAAATGATCTTTAAATATTTTCATAATTTCTCTATGGCTATTTTCTTGCTCCCCTTCGTCCTCTATGTATAATAGGCATTGCACACATCCAGTGGTCCATTGCCTGCAACTGTTGGGAGCTGACCAATCTTTTGCTCTTCCTGTACTACATAGTGGGTACATCTACACATTGTATTAGTATGGAGCAATGAACTCCAGCACAGTGTGCCCTGGAGTTTATTGCTCCCAGGCACTGTGGTTGAACAAGTACCCAGGACTGCAGCATGTTGAGCTGGGTCGGAGCAGCTCCAGCTGACAGAGTGCCTGGGGTCTCATTCTGGCAGCCTGGGGATGCTCTAACCTGGCTCAATGTGCTGCAGAGGAGCCAGCTGGAGCACGAGGGTGGTCCAGTGTGGGGCTAGCCAGCAGGCAGCCCCCGCACTGAAGCACCCTTGTGCTTCAGCCAGTCCTGCCAGCATCTACACATGCATTGCTGTGCACTAAAGAACTCCACCATAGGATAGTACTTGTATTTACAAGTACTAACCTAGGGCAGAATTAGTTTATTTCCTGTGGCTTAATATGGTCACATGTAGATGTTGAAAGTTTACTGCAGAGCTAATTAGGCAGCTCCACAGTAAACATCTTGTATAGATGCACCTGCTAGCACAGAGGGTGGCATTCTGCACATGACCTTCACTGGGCACCAGAACGCCTGGCTATGGCTCTGATGCCGTGCCTTCCACTTTTGCTACCATATTGTATCCTGAGCTTTACAATGTGGAAATAACCCCTTATTATCTACAGAAGCTTGTATAAGACTATTTACACTACAGAGGTAAGAAGAGCTTGCTGCTACCTTTGTGGCTGGCCTACACCTGGTCTGTCACCCCGAATTTCCTGCTGACCTTACCCAGAGTCTCATGGAATACCACATTCCTGGACACTCTGTGCATTCAGGAAGCCTTACTCTGCCACATCCACTTTCAAGTGATGGTTTAATTCTTTCTTTTAATTTTGGCAGGTGTTTATTGGCATAAAGTAGGAATAAAATACTGGTAAAATTGTTGCTTGAGTTGAGCCAATGTTAATACCATAAAGGTATTTTTTTTATGTGCGTCTTATTGAAAATCCAAAAGTTTCAGTAATAACGAGACTACAGAAGACAAAAAATAAAACCTTATCTCTTCTGGCCAAATTGTAATTATTCTAGAAGTTAATAATCTAGCAGACTCAATATTTTCTTATCAATCATATAAGCAGAATAGAACCAAGGATGGGGGTTTATGTTGGTTTGTTTATTTGCACTGTATTTACATGGCATATGCTATGTTGTGTAATTGTATTTATTCTGTGCTGACAGCAGATTGTAAAGCCTTCTGCTGGCCACTTACATTTATCTTAACAAGCTGGTTGAGTTTTCAATTTCTGTGAAGCATCTTAATTTTTGCATTTTTCATAAATGTATTTACACGTACTTTCTATAAATGAATATGTTGATGCAGCCTCAGCATGCAGAAGTAACATGCTGGATCCTAGGAAGTAGGAGAAGGGGGTTGATTCTAGGGATTCATATATTTATTTAGATTTGGGATTACTTAAAAATACAAGAAAATTAATACTCAAATGTCACTCCTACACAGCACCTCAGTTCAGTGTTACCTAGTCCAAGCGTATGAAGCAGCTCAAGTATACAGGTAGCCTTTTTGGAATTCCTCACCTTACAGTGCTAGTGTATTCATCTTAGGCATTTGTGATAGCATGTGCTGGGTGGGTTTTTGCATGCCTGTGCTCAAAAACGTGAAAGTCAGCATAGGTACGCAAATATTTTGGGACGTTCAATCTGAAAATCAGGCACAGGGAGACCTTAATCCTAATCCTGGCACAGGCTCTGATTCTCTGACCAACTGTGTGTGGGCAAGTTACTTCCTGACTCCTCCACCTTGGTTTATGTCTATGCATTTTTACCTTATTCAGACAGACTTCCCTGAAGTGCCTAAGTGAATTGAATGACCATATCATACAGGATTTTTTTTTATCTTTGATGGTTCTATTCAGTTTGAATACTGTTTTGTTTTTTGTTTTTTCTCATGGATGTGGAAAGTGTTAAAGGGAAACAAAATTAAACACTGGGATAATTCATTTAAATGTAGGATTACATTGTAGGGTAAGCTATTGACCTCATCCACAAAACAGGGATCTTTCTGTTTATTGTGACGTATATGCATCCGTAGGTTATAAATACTGTAGAAATATTGCCCATAGCTGTAGCGCCAGGAAGGTGCCTAGACAGATGATGACCAAGGCCTAGATTAGGGGTATAAGGAGAGAAAATGGAAGTCCATCCAGAGGGCTCAAACTGAACTAGGGAAGAAAGTTGGTCTGGCACAGGTCTCTTAGAAGGAAGACTCTGCCAGTAAAATCCTGTATGCCCCCAGCAGTCATTGTAGGCACAGAGCATTTTAGAGATCTGATCAATCCAGACCCCATTTAATATTATAACATTTCTAATATTTTCTTGGGTATGTTTTATTTTTATTCTTCTCTTCCCATAATTTGCAAATTAAGGGGAGGTGTAGTATACTGAAGCAAGCTTGTCTTGTTTGGTTTTTTCGCTTTTAGATAATAACGAAAAATTAATGCCATGAACTCAATAGCAGAGCTGCTATCAATGAAAGATATTCCATAGATAAATGAGAGTTGTATTGAATTTGTTGGCAGGGGGAAAAAGCTTAGTTATATGGTGAATGCTGCAAACTCATCAAGGTCCCAGCTTTGCCTTAACTCTGTAAATCTTAATTTTCCTAACAGCTGTCAACAAAGACAAGCTTGAAAAAGCAACTGGCCTGAAAATCCTGCAGACTGGCATGGGGGAGGTAAGTGACTTGGGGGGCATTTTGTATTCTTAAAAACATTTTAATTGTTCTTTTATGAAATTGTAGAGCTCATGTATGTCGACTACCAGTGCCTTTTTTTGATACAGTTGCATCTGTCAGAATACAATCTGCTGCACAAATAGTTCTGTATGCCACAGAGAAGAAGTTCAATTTTTAGGAATAAAGCTTGGTGGCCTTTAAAAAATGTATCTCATCACTTTGTTGTATATGAGGAACAAAATCCCAAAACATAAGCAAAGCAATTGCTGTATGTTATTCCCCCTAGGTTTGAGTGCTATCTTGTCTAGACCAATGAAATCTAAACTTGGGGCAAAGAGCTTGCAGATGTAAGGAGGAATGTATCTGTGCACAGCTTGCTTATTTACAGTGTCTTTTGGGTTTAACTTGAAAGATAAATATGACTCTGATACACTATAGTGATATTACTAATAAAAAAACTCAACTAAGTTCATTATTATTAATAAAAAATGATGTTATCTGCTAAGAACACTGTATGAACTATGATGAGATAATTCTGGTGCTGATTTATTGGACATAATGTTTTTTTCTTTTACTTTTAAATTATTTTGTTAGTGGAGAGTGTTCAGAAGTTTGGGCAAATGCTGGGTTTTTATGATTGTATTATTTACAGAATTAAGGAAAACCAGTAATTGGTTAAATATTGAAGTAGATTAACTATTTGTGATTCATTCTCAATTTCTGGAATCTCCTGTTCTTTATCCATCTATAACAAACAGCCAGTCCTCCAAGGGATTGCACATATGAATAATGAAGCAGTCAGCCCTAAAAAGTTGGCAATTGCAAAATCTTCTGTGTACCCAGAACTTGCATTAGTTTGTGGATCTAAAGGCAATAATGACAAACATACAAACATGCTTGGCTAGTGTAAATCAGAGAAGCTTCATTGACTTTATTAGAGCTGTGCTGCTTTACAGTACTTGAGGTTGCGGTCTGGATTTACAGAATTGTACTCATGTGGCTAGGCCCTCTGAAGTCTGTGGGACTGCTGCTAGTAAAATGACACCTGTTTCTAAGTACTTGGATGGTTGGAGTTTCTAGGCATTATCCAAAGCCTGTGGAAGTCACTGCAGAGTGCCATTGACTTCGAAGTGCTTCAGATGAGATTCTCAGCGAAGAGCCTTATTTTGCATCTTTGAGTCTGAGATGCACTGCAATAATTTAGCAGATGGTGAAGTCAATTCTAATTTTACGCATTATTTTCAGAACTTGGTACTTCACTTAAATAAGGAAAATATTTGTGATTTTGAAAAGCTTTATGGAGGGGAAAACTTGCCTTGAAAGCATCTGCTTTTGAGCTAAAAGGGTAGAATGAAATGGAAAAATGAAACAGGCATTGGGAAGTCTGCAGAAATGTTTCAGTGTACAGAGTTTTGCTACATTGTTATAGCGTACAGAGCATCACTATATTTATTATTATTATTATTATATTATTCTTGTTTCCTCAGTGACTTTTAAACTCTGATTTGGGTTACCAAATCAGTTGCCGGTGTTTTGCATTTTTTTACAACATGGTGCATTTTTAGCAGGCAATAAGTGGAAAGAAATAAACCAAGCTAAGGTATATATTTAAATATATGTATTTACTAGGTATAGTGACCAGGTGGGAAAACAATCAAGCTGTTTATAACATTAAGATATTAGATGGGAACTCTTGATTCAACTGCAGACATATTTTGTTGGATGAGGACCCAGAAGCTCTCTGGTGCGTGCTTTCCCCTAAGAAGTTTATCAGTTACAATTGTACACACACAAAATACATTTCTGAACAATCTTACCTCATGAAAAATAATACAGCTCTGTGATTAAGCCAGTCCTTTCTTTATTTTTTTACACTCTTTTCCCCCCAAGCTATTGTACAAGGGCTTATGGGAACTAGCAATGAAATGACTAAGCTTGTACTTCACTGCAGACTGCTTAAATTCAGTCCCAGTAAGCTACAGCTCTTTATCAGACATTACTGTCTCAACAAAAATGGATTTGCTATGTACACTCACCTGTTTTGCTGCGGTGTCTTCCAGTGGGGCTATCTTAAGGAAATGAGAATAGTAGTTTATGGCAAACACAGCTTTTTTGTAAATTGAACATGGCTTACTCCAACCTGGACTTTTTCACTTGACTGAAGTCTCTATTTTTGGCACGTTATAAGCCTTAACAGTTTCCTTAATGTCTGTGGTCACCTGAAGCGTGGAATAGAAAGCATCTTTGCCCTTTTGGGGGGAAATGAGCCCTAAGTGAGTCTCAGGTACCCGTTTTAACACTTTTCTGCAAGCAGTCTCATGAATTGTCATCCTAATGTCTTATGTAACTCCGTAAATTGATAGTAGGCACGAAAAATATTCGCTTTTGGCCACCCTGTGTTTGTCACCTTAATTGTTTCAGCAGGGACCCATCTTCAGCAATGAGACTGCCAATCTTAGTCACATTTCATCTGACTGGACGGGGTGTTTTTTTAATTAGATTGTGATGTACATGAACTGGATTTTGTTCCAATGCACTTATGCCTTAGAGTGATTGTCTGTAACCACCAAATATCTCCCAGTTTTGTATTAAATATGGCAGTTATGCATTTGTAGATGAAACAATAATCTTAGTACTCTTGGACTGGGCAGTTTTTTTGACGATGGCGAAATACGGTTTCTAGTGTATTTCAGCTACTCCCAGATCCCATAAATATAGACGTGAAGGTCTGGATCCTATTCCAGCTCTTAGGCCCCTACGTGAACTTGATTTTGTATTTAGGTATTATTATTGTTATTTGTTTTGTGTGGTCGGTTGGTGTTTTATTTAGCATTAGCCCTGCACGTCTTTTTCTTTCCAAAACTGCTCAGGGCATAACTTTCTTCTGTTTCCTTTCTTCACTCAAAGTTACATTATCAAAGTTCAATCTATGTTATTGTAAAACACCTCAAACGGAAATTTGTAGAAATGGTGTCTCTTAAATAGGCTCAGCACACATTCTTTTTTTCTAAAGGCCAGAAACCTACTGATGTATCAAACAGAGAAGTATTTGGTATCGTTCCTGTACTCCATAGTGACAGGACAAGTAATGATCTTAAAATACAACAGGGGAGATTTAAGCTGGATGTTAGGATGAACTGACTATGAGAGGTCGGTAAATTAGCTCCACAGTCTGTTCTTTTACTATTTTGGATTCTCTATCATGTCATCAGTGTCACCACCCTGGATTTCTGCGTGGTGTGGGTGAATGACTTCCTGTGGCAAATGCTAATTGTCCTGTTAAGCACTAATTCTGAGCCTTCTGGTGATGTCTCTCAGGAAATTGTTCCCAGATTTCAATCATGATCTGGCGTCTTATCAGGGACTCAGCCACTTAAATTGCAAGCTTGGACCTTCAGTCTGAGGTCAGCTACAAACTCTTCTGAGTTTAACTATTTTTTCCCTTCTGTTTAGAAACATGTCATAGATTTCATAGACATTAGGGTTGGAAAAGGACCTTGTGAGATCATCAGGTCCAGCTCCCTGCCCAGAGGCAGGAAGTCAGCTGGGGTCAGATGACCCCAGGAACATAAGCATCCAAGTGTTTCTTAAAAGTATCCTGAGTAGATGCTTGCACAACTTCTGGGGGGAGTCTATTCCAGATTCTGGATACTTGGACAGTAAAAAAGTTTTTCATTATGTCTAGTCTAAAACAGTCTTCCAGCGGTTTGTCACCGTTAGATCTTGTCTTCCCTTGGGGTGCTCTGGTGAACATATTTTCTCCCAGTTCCTGATGCACACTTATGTACTGCCACTAGGACCCCCCTGAGCCTTTGCTTCTCCAGGCTGAAGAGTCCCATGCCTCTCAGCTTCTCCTCATAAGGCCTGCTGTCTTGACCACTAATCATGCACATAACTCTCCTCTGGACTCTCTCAACGTCGCTCAGATCTTTCATTTTTATGTGGTATATTCATCAATTTTTTATAATACAATTTAGTAGTTGGCCATTGCTTCATTCAGTATGGAGCTGTAGCTGATCAGGGTTTTGTAACATGAGCCCCTGCAAGAGGCAACAGCTGGTTCCAGCTGACATTTGTAAGAGCCCCTAAAAGATACAGTTCCCCCAGTTACTGCTACAGATCTGCTGGAATTTGCTTCCTGACAGTCGTGCAGCCAAACCGCAGCAAAGCCCAGTTCATTTTTTTTCCTTTTTTTGAGAAGGCCAAGTGAACAGGGCCCAGACAAAGCTCAGTCTCTCAACTGAGGTCATATGTGAATTCAATAAAATTTCTGTGACTATCTCATAGCTTATGCATCTCTTTAGTTAGTCTGTATGGTGCAAGTCTACCCTGATTTCTGCCTTTTAGACACTGGAAAAGAGCCTGACGACTGGCTGAAATATCCAGAAAAGGGCCAAAACCAATCTGCTGTCACATGACACAAGCAAAGGAAGAGGCAGGTCCTCTTCCTGGGGCTGAGAGGCAAGGGGAAAAGCAACTGGAGACTGCTAGGACCAAAGGAATTGCTTCTTTCACATAACTTCATGAGTTTTTCTCTTTGAATAATAAATGATACTCTCTGTAGTCTTGAACTTTGGCATGTCACCGGTTCTTGCTGGGGCTGGCATGAGCTCACCAGCGTATCGGTACTATGTTTTAAATTTTTCTCTACCAATTTCCTAAAGAAAAATGCATAAAATAGTCCAGTTATTAGATTTTTAACTGCATCCAGAGCTTGCAAGTTGCATTGCCTTTTGATTCACTTATATTGTGACAGACATCAAAGATAAAACAGCTCTTTTAAACTAAAAAGTGGAAATTCCACAAACCAAATTAAGTGAAATTAATGTTCTGCTGTGCACCCAGATGTTCCAAAGCAGATCCATCCTATTTTGACATGTTTCAGGGGAATCTCTGTTATCTGTATTTTGAACAGTTGAGAAATATGTTGCAATGACCTAATATTTATGTTGCTACAATCAAACATGAAAATCAATATTTGAAACATTATCCCAGGGGAT